CCCCAAAACCCCAAAACCCCAAAACCCCAAAACCCCAAAACCCCTCTCTAACTTAGTTTGTTGATTAGAATTCTCAATGAATATGGAAATCTAGCCAGCAAGTGCACGTCTCTGTCTGAGTACCTCATCCCTCATCTTTTCAACAAATCTTACGTTCTTCTTTAGAATCATTTGCTCGTCTATTTGGTAGTTCAGGATGTTGTATTTATGGACCTTCCTTATTGAATCAAATTCTCCTAAGTTGTTCCTCATGCTCACATAATCCTTGCCTTCTAGAGGCTCTAGAGCCTCTTCTAGTTCTCTAAGGATTGTATTCAAAATAATTTCTTCCTGTGTAGAAGAGATTGGATTCTCAAAGGTCTCATGATTCCACAAGTGATCTAAGGTCAGTTCGCTCACCAAATCTGAAGTTAAGAAGGCAATTCTTAAAGACTTCATTATGTTGATATCAAATTTATTCTTGTAAAACAAGAATCCTTGCATGAAGTGAGGAATTCCTGTGTGTTGATATAGTCTAAACTTCAGCTCCATCTCTTCGCCCATCATCTCTGCATATTTCTTAGCATTATAATAAAAAGGAACTCTTGAGTAAGGATTATCTGCCAAAGTGAAGCCGAATTTTTGTAACAAATGAAGATTCCCCATTTCTCCATAGTTGATAAAGAGTTGTTCGCCAATAGGAATGTCTAAAGATAAGTTATTCATCTCTTACTTTTAATAGCCACTCATTCAATGATATTCACCTTCTCATGTCCTTTAACCTTAGTACCTCTAAATTTTTCTTTCTCCATAGGATCCATTTCGGAGAAGACAGTTGCTGATTTTGTATGTCTCAGTACTACATTTGGCTCGAAGCTGTGGTTCAGGTATTCAGCCAGTGGGGTAATAAAGCTGTCGTACTTTGGGTCGCTTTGGTATCCCTCGTTTGTGTTCTCAAGAATTGTGAATCTGCTCGCTGAAACGTTCCAAGCCCAGTGCCACTCGTCCATGTTGTACTGGGTGTGCTCGAACTCAGCAAAAGCTTGTCCCAGATGATGGTACAGTGCAGCCAAGCCTTTGAGTTCTTCGATCAGTGTTCTTGAGTCGATCTCGATAATGGTGTCTTTGTCCCAATAGTGGTTCATGGTGAGTTCGTGAAATGGTAGTGCTTTCAAGTACGGAGCGTGCATACCATCAGCTCCGAGTCTGTTCAGCTTCACATGCATGTGAGCGTTGAGCATTGTCTGGAACAGCCTGTTGGCCAACGCTTTGTCTCCCCGAGCTGCATTGTCGGCGACTTCTTTGGACTTCTGCACTACGGCTCTGGCTGTGTCGTCTACAACATTACATAAAGTTACCTGATTGCAATGCGAAGAAAGCTTTGCCTGAGAGAGTGGCAGCACGAGGAACTTGGAAGATGGTGCTGCCTTTATGAATGAACTCAGCAGATTGAAGCCCGAAACCCATGGCACCATCATGATTGTAATCTTCGAATGCAATCGCTTTGTAGAGCTTGGTTTCCCTTGAACTACAATACTGTGTATAGTCATACATGATCTTATCAGCCGAATTCTCTCCTTCAGATCCATCAAGGCTAAAGTCAAGTGTACTATGTGAAAGTCCTATAAAATAGGAATCTGAACCTTTCTTAGATCCCTCATATAATCCAATTCTGTCCTTTCTTTTCTCTTTAAACGTAGGATCTCCCTAATAAATTAGACTTTGAACTACCGTTACATTTTGGGAATCATTTATTGTGGTAAATCATCTTCGGACTTGGGAGAGGTTATTATTAAGCCAAATTCGATTCCATGCTCTTTTGTACAACATTTCTGGTTAAGAATAAATATTATTGTAATCAAGAATTTTATAAAAATATGGGGTTTTGGGGTTTTGGGGTTTTGGGGTTTTGGG